ACCAGACCACCTCACATGGCTCTTGAGAAAGCTGTATAAGGGTCAAGAAGCAACAGTTAGAACCGGATATGGAACAACTGATTGGTTCAGCATAGGAAAAGGAGTACGACAAGGATGTATATTGTCACCTTGCTTATTTAATATATATGCAGAGTACATCATGCGAAATGCTGGCCTGGATGAATCACAAGCGGGAATTAAGATTGCTGGGGAAAAGATCAACAACCTCAGATATGCAGACGATACCACTCTAATGGCAGAAAGTGAAGAGGACCTAAAGAGCCTCTTGCTCAGAGTAAAAGAGGAGAGCGCAAAACTGGGCTTGAAGCTCAACATCAAAAAAACTAAGATCATGGCATCCGGCCCCATCACTCCTTGGCAAATAGAAGAGGAAGTCGTGGAAGTGGTGACAGACTTCACGTTCCTGGGATCCCAGATCACCGCAGACTGTGACAGCAGCCATGAAATTAAAAGACGCCTGCTCCTTGGGAGGAAAGCGATGGCGAACCTAAACAGCATGATAAAAAGTAGAGACATCTCCCTGCCAACAAAAGTCCACATGGTCAAAGCAATGGTATTCCCAGTAGTCATGTATGGCTGCGAGAGTTGGACTATAAGGAAGGCCGAGCGCCGAAGAATAGATTCTTTTGAACTATGGTGCTGGAGAAGACTCTTGAGAGTCCCTTGGACTGCAAGAAGATCAAATCAGTCAATCCTAAAAGAAATCAACCCTGACTGTTCCCTAGAAGGCCAGATAATGAAACTGAAGCTCAAATACTTTGGCCACCAAATGAGAAGGGAGTGCTCACTGGAGAAGACCCTGATGCTGGGAAAGATTGAAGGTCAAAGAAGATGGGGACGGCAAAGGATGAGATGGTTGGACAGTGTCATCGACGCAACGAACATGAAATTGAGCCAACTTCAGAGGACAGCGGAAGACAGGAGGGCCTGGCAGGAGCTGGTCCATGGGGTCGCGAAGAGTCGGACTCGACTGTGCGACTGAACAACAACAACAATACCATCAAAAAAGGAGGGGTTGTCTTAAATTCACATAGCAAGTTACAGTTATGTCAAATAATAACTTTTTGGTGTGTGTATATAGTAATGGAACATTTGCTGTTGTCAATACAAATTACATTTTCTTCTCTTCTAATTATCTTGTATATTAAAAGAGCTTTTAATGTAATCAACTGGTATACTCCAATAAAAATGGTTCTATAGTACTTGTATTTTTACTTACTTCTGTTCTTCCTTGATTCCTGTAAAAGAAAGAAAGGATACAATGTTTTAATGCTCATAAATAACTGCCATCACTACTGAAAGCCAGAACATCCCTGAGAAGCCAGAGAACTGGACTACAAGGGATTCTTAAAAAATGTAAACTGGCATATTGTAGGAATACATTTGTAAATAATTACAGGGTTAACATGATGCTGGCGAAGGCAAAACAAAAAGCCCAGGCATTCTTTGGCTGAGTAGATGAAGAATCAAAATGAACAAACAGGGTGTAGCAGCACTGCCCTACTCAGCACCACACAGAGCAGAGTTCGTCATGGCACTGGATGGATGTCAGCTAGGAAAAAACTCAGAGAGCACAAGACGGGATGCATGGCATGTGAAGAAAAACCAAAGAACCGGGGATACTTAGAGAGAAGAGATTGGCAGAGGATATGATAGTCTCTCACTTCCTGATCACAAGGGGATTGGGGGGGGGGGGCACATATCCAACCATGCAGTTCCAGCAGTGGAGTGGCATGTCCATTTGTGAAAAAGAGGGCAACTATTCCCACTGATTTCCCCTCCCACTGAAGACCCCCACTTTGCCCCCTCTGCTTTGCCTGAAGATCTAAGGTCCCCAAGGAATAAGGCTTCAGGGTGGCTCCCCAGGGCCGCAACAGGAGGGGAAGGAGGAAGTCCACTCTGTGAGCTGAGTGATACGTGCCACGGCCTCTCCTTCCTTTACTGTGTAAGTTCAGCAAACAGGGCATCTGCATGAAGTGGATGCACAAATTCTGTTCCGGCTTTGTGGGCCTAATGCTCTCTCCGAGCAACAGAATCTAAAATCCCTTCTTGATACTGTTATTTGTTGGCACATGCACATGTCCAGCTTCTCCTAGTGGTCATAGCCAGAGGAAAACAAGCAAGGCCCAGTGCCACAGAGAAGTCGCAGTCAGCTTGAGGTGTCTCTAGTGCCACGGCAACACAAATTGCTCTGTAGCAAAAGACACGCAGAGCCATCCTAAGAATGCCTTGGTGGGAGGAAGCCCAATGACCAGTCTTGATTCAGAGGAGATCTGCTTGGGATGGCTCTCCTGGTCACATCAAACATCCTGAGCAAAGGTCACAACAGCTATGAGCATCATGCAGATCAAAAAATCCACGAAGGGACAGGCGCTCAATATGGAAACTTTACAGGAGGGAGGAGCCTCGGAAATGCAGGGGGAAAGCAATTTTTCAATAGCACTTCAGGATATTCCATTCCTGATGACCTCCTTAGTTCTTCAACAAACAATTCAGATCTCAGAGATTGGATATTTAAGCATGATGCGCTGTTAGACAGACACTCAATTTTAAAATCACAGTCTGCTACGTGGTTCAAATCATTTAAGAATGACCATTTTAGATCATTTTACCTGGTTAACTTAGATAATCATAACCTTAGAACAGCTTTTACATCTCTGCGTTTTGAATCAATGCCTACGGCTGTATTAGCTAGCCGCTACAGTAGAACACCCAAGGAACAGCGTTTATGTATTTGTGGCTCTTCTGATATAGAGGATCTCTCCCATTACATTCTTGATTGCCCATTGTATTCCCAACCTAGGTCAAAATTTCTATTTGGTATTTTATCAGTTTTAAGTTCTTATTCAGTCCCCGAGAAGATTATATTTTTGCTAGCTGATGCCAATGTCAATGTATCAGGCCGAGTCAGTTTGGTGTAGTGGCCGAGTCAGTTTGGTGTAGAGGCCGAGTCAGTTTGGTGTAGTGGCCGAGTCAGTTTGGTGTAGAGGCCGAGTCAGTTTGGTGTAGTGGTTAAGTGTGCGGACTCTAATCTGGGAGAACCGGGTTTGATTCCCCACTCCTCCACTTGCACCTGCTGATGTGACCTTGAGTCAGTCACAAGCTCTGGCACAGCTGTCCTTGAAAAAGAGCCGTTTGTGTCAGAGTTCTCTCAGCCCCACCCACCTCACTGGGTGTCTGTTGTGGGGAGGGGAAGGGAAAGGAGTTTGTAAGCCGCTCTGAGACTCCAAGTGAAGGGCGGGGTATAAATCCAATCTCTTCTCTTCTTCTTCTGTATCCTATAGAATGACTCTAGACAGCTGTGCCAGAGCTTGTGACTGACCCAAGGTCACATCAGCAGGTGCTATGGCTAAATACAATAAAACCTTTCTCTGTCTCAATAGCACTTCAGGTGGCCGTAGAAACCCAAATTGGCACCTGGCATTGCACACACCCCACCCCAGACAGGAGGTTAAGGTGGAAGGGGGGGAGAAGAAGAAGAAGAGATTGGATTTATACCCTGCCCTTCACTACCCGAAGGTGTCTCAGAGTGGTTTACAATCTCCTTTCCCTTCCCCTCCCCACCAACAGACACCCTGTGAGGTAGGTGGGGCTGAGAGAGCTCTCTCAAGAACTGCCCTTGAGAGAACAGCTCTGACAGAACTTGTGACTGACCCAAGGTCACCCCAGCAACTGCACGTGGAGGAGGAGTGGGGAATCAAACCTGGTTCTCCAAGATTAGAGTCCGCACTCTTAACCACCATACCAAACTGACTCTCCAGAGCCAGAATGGGAAGGGAAAGGGTGGCTGGGGGGAAACAAAGCAGTCAAGACAGGCTGGAGGAAGTGAAGGAGGTAGAAAAGAGGAGCAACCAGGAGGGAAGGAAGGCCGGGGGGGGTGGGGGTGGGGGAATAGTAGCCAGAATAAGTTGGGGAAAGGGAGAGGTCCTTGCAAATAAAACAGCTAAAGCACCCAAATTGGTACTGAGCCACATGGGAGCACACAGAAGGCTTTCCAAACCAACCTCCTCCACTCTAAGCTCAGCTCTCTCTCCAAATCCCCTAAAAAGCACATTTGCAGGCAACCAGGGCAGGTTACTCTAATCCTTCTTCATAAAAATCGCAGTTAGAATAAGCTTCCATACACGCCCAGGGGACACTAGCACGGCAAGGAGCAACACAAAGGAAGGCAGCTCCATCTAAACACCCCGATTCAGTTGAGGCAGCTCACTGGCTTCCAGGTTCTGTCCAGCAAGAAAGGAGTCCTTCCCAGCAATCCTGAAAATGGACATGCTTGGGAGTGCCTCTGAAACCGAGAAGGAACTCTAGGCTACCATCAAGACAAAAAGGAAATTCCATATTCACACATCAGGAACCAGGTACTCTGACAAGAGAGCGCGCGGAAAGGCTTTGACCTTTAGGCAAACAGGAGCTGAACCAACCTGACCAACTTAAGATGGCAAGCCCTGAAGGTCACAGTTCCTTTAACCCAGGGGTGTCAAACCCCTGGGCCCATGAGCCGGAACCGGCCCGCCCACGCCTTTAAGCCAGCCTGGCAGTGGGGCTCTCTTCTCTCCCCCCCCTCCCCTGCCCATCCTCGCTGTTCTCAGCTTGAACTGCCTTGGAATATAGAGAGCAGCGGGCGAGGTTGCCTCTGGAAGCAGGAAGCAGAGGGCAGGGCTGCCAAACTTCCCAGCCACCGCTCCCGACCTCCGTAGTCCTCCTTACAGGTAGGAGCTGGGGGGTCCTTCTTTTGTGATCCTTGTGCTTCTTTTTTATTTTAAAAATTGCTTTGCAAAATTCCACTATGTTCCCCCAACTTTCTAATGTAGGCTGGCACATTTTAAAGGCATTGGGGGGGGGGGGGGGTTTGGGACCAGCCAGGGTTAAAATATAGAGCTCTGCAAACTCAAGGGACTCCAGTTTTGCAGAGAAATGTTAGTTTTAACATACACACCCTCCTAATGTGGGGCTCCAGTGGAATAGCTGCTATAATATCTTTAATTGTGTTTGTCTGTGTCCTTTATAAAGTTTAGATCTCCGCTACCTGGCATTACATTTTATGGCACACATGGCCCGGCCCAACAAGGTCTCATTTAGGTCAGATCCAGCCCGCATAACAAATGACTTTAACCACAGTTATTACTAGTTAGCTGCATTTCTTAAACTGAAAGCAGCCCTGGTGCCTAAGAAATGTTAGCATTTAGCACAGACCCAAGAATGATAAGCCTGCTTAAGCCCTTGAAAAACCCTGATACATCCGAGTCCTGAGAAACAGGAGGACACTGAGATTGCCTTCCTCACTTCTCATACATTTACCATCACATTTTCGCATCTATCTAGGGCTGACAACCAGCATATGTTACAGCTGGGATTCTAGGGATGAAGAAAGACAAGGCAGAAGAACAGAGCTCAGAATCCATCTGCCCATTTATGCATCACTTGTCACCTTTTTTTGGAAATACTTTTAACAGTGCTCCAGAGCTTAGGTAGGGTGACAGAACTGTGACAGAAGGGAATCGGAACAGGGTGGGTATCCGGGGTGGGCACGTGTATCCAGGAAGAGGGACTCCCAGGGACAGTCAGGACTGTAGAAGGAGCACAGCCAAAGGAGTCTGCCCTGGCTGCACCTTCCAAGCTGTCTTCAAAGGCAGCTGCCCCATGAGGCTTTTCGCTTGCCAAGACACGTGATGCAGAGACAGAGAAAACAGGAACCTCTTACTTGCTAATTCGCAGCTTTCCTACTTCGCCTCTTCCTGAAGCTTTATTCCACTGCTGAGACAAGTATTTCGGGACCTGAAAGAAATGGGGGGAAATACAGTAACGTATGCAATAAATATCCTCTTTTTTAAACAAAAAACATCTCTGTCTTTATCAGGGGGAAGAAAATAATACCAAGTAAAAAGATATATTACATCTTAACACATCACAGGTCTGTATTTCAAGTATGAATGGTCTAATTATATATTTTTAAAATTTAACTCCAACTTTCAGGTTAGATCCAACACAAGGATTGCAGATCTTCCCAGCTTTCCCCTCCCCCAGGTAGCCACTGCCAACTCCAGGAAAGTTTATTCCCAAGACAGGGGGGCTGCAATGAGGAGGGGGCACCACTCCAACCCCTTCTTCCCCTGCAGTTGGCAAAACTCTGATGAAAGAGGAGGCAGGCCAGACAAATTCACCCCCTCCCCACGGAAGCCTCCCACCAGGCGGGCTCTTAGTCCACTGGGGACTCAACTCCAACATCCTTAATCCAACTCATCTGACTTGGGAAGGCCAGCCCTCACATCCCCCCCCCCACAACCTCCCCCTGCCCAACCCACAGGGTCAGTTACTGCACACACACATCAAAGAGATTGAGGGTCCCATATACGGTCCCCTGGCATACACAGCAATGTCCCCACTTTGCATCCACTCTCATTCCAACTACTGTAACACTCTCTACATGGGGCTGCCTTTGTCGCAAATCTGGAAGCTGCAGCTAGTGCAGAATGCTGCGGCCAGGCTGTTGTTGGGTCTCCCTAGACGGGAGCACATCCGGCTTGTGCTGAAAGTGCTGCACTGGCTGCCAATAGCGTACCGGGTTCACTTCAAAGTGCTGGTTCTTACCTTTAAAGCCCTATAAGGCCAGGGTCCGACATACCTGAGGGACCACCTTTCCCCGTATATACCCCAAAGACCACTACGGTCTGGGGCACAACATCGCTTAGTGATCCCAGGCCCCAGGGAGGCCCGGTTTGCTGCAACCAGGGCCAGGGCCTACTCAGTGGCGGCTCCTACCTGGTGGAATGAGCTCCCGGAGATCAGGGCCCTGCGGGACCTTGTACAGATCCGCAGGGCCTGCAAGACGGAGCTCTTCCGCCAAGCTTTCGACTAGGAGCCGCCACTACCACCACCAACAATGAACCCAGCTGATAACTGGGAACGGAGCGGCCCCATCACTCCTTGGCAAATAGAAGGGGAAGTCGTGGAAGTAGTGACAGACTTCACGTTCCTGGGATCCCAGATCACCACAGACTGTGACAGCAGCCATGAAATTAAAAGACGCCTGCTCCTTGGGAGGAAAGCGATGGCGAACCTCAACAGCGTGATAAAAAGTAGAGACATCACCCTGCCAACAAAAGTCCGCATAGTCAAAGCAATGGTATTCCCAGTAGTCATGTATGGCTGCGAGAGCTGGACTATAAGGAAGGCCGAGCGCCGAAGAATAGATTCTTTTGAACTATGGTGCTGGAGGAGACTCTTGAGAGTCCCTTGGACTGCAAGAAGATCAAATCAGTCAATCCTAAAAGAAATCAACCCTGACTGTTCCCTGGAAGGCCAGATAATGAAACTGAAGCTCAAATACTTTGGCCACCAAATGAGAAGGGAGCACTCACTGGAGAAGACCCTGATGCTGGGAAAGATTGAAGGTCAAAGAAGACGGGGACGGCAAAGGATGTGATGGTTAGACAGTGTCATAGATGCAACGAACATGAAATTGAGCAAACTTCAGAGGACGGCGGAAGACAGGAGGGCCTGGCGTGATCTGGTCCATGGGGTCGCGAAGAGTCGGACTCGACTGTGCGACTGAACAACAACAACAAACTGAGACTGGGTGAGGGGCTTCTTCAGGGCCCCATTCCGTGAGTTCTGAAGCCCTGCTATAAACATCTGCTGCCCATCTGAGGTAACTGCCAGGGTGCTGAGAACTATACAAATGGGAGGGTATGCATTAACAACAACCAATCCCTCAGGGAAAACAGACAGACAAAAGGATAGGACTTCTCTATAACTTTAACACTTAACAGGAGATTTCGGCAGGTGCATCTTCTCATGTAGGGGAGAGCAGGAGGTGGACGCAGCCACTGAAAACGCCTCTTCACGCCACTAAAATTGCGGGAATTCATTTCTTTCGTGAAATAGGCAACCTCAACTCACCCATTATGCTTTTGTCGAGACAAGGATGTGCTTGAACATTTTACATGTGCACATAATCGACAGCTTTAATGTGAAACCAGCATATACCCTGTTTCCCCGAAAATAAGTGTTACCATGTGTGTTTGTATTTGCATTATTGTCTGTATTATGTTTATGCTGTATTGCTCAACTGTCTATGTATCTGTGCTGTTGGGACCCAGGGCTCATTGCTGCTATGCATTTGAATGGCGGGCCTTGCATCTCATGCTACCCATGGATGGGCATTGCTGAGCACATGCTTTCCCTGGAATTTTCCACTGTGCCCCTGGACCAAAGAGGTCACCACCGGTATGCACAAGGAGACATTTGGAGAAGCACCAGGCGTGAACACCCTTGATGGATTGTGGGAAAGCACCAACTCCCTTCCTGCTATCTGGTTTGGGCATCAAAAGACAATACTGTTTATTGCTCTGAGGACCAGGCTCATCTCTACTACAAAGGTTGCCAAGAGAAACGGAGGTTCACATCCCACCACATGGCCCCTGCTTTGATGTAGGGATAGAATATCCTCATATTGCCCACTGCCCCTCATTAGGACGTCACCCCTTAGTGGACCTATAGCGATAGAGTAGAGGACGTACTCCAGGTTTTATGATAGGTAAAGCCTGCCCCAAAACATAGGTCTTAAAAGGAGAAACGCAGCCATTGTTTCTCTCTCTTGCATTGTGCTTTTGCTCCCTTGCCTTGCCCCCTTGCCCTTGCTCCGGCCCTTCCTTCCCCCCCCCCCTGCAACTTAAGTACTGCAGGTGACTCTAACTGTGTTCTCTGGAATCCGGACCAGAGAACCCACACGTGGCTTGGCTGGTCCAGCTTGTGTGCTTTTGGAGTTCACTTACTGACCCTTAAGCTGCCCCTTTTCTGCTACGAGGAGATTTCTTCTCAGCTGGAACCACAGATAAGTATGAGCGATATCCTGCTGTGTTATTCCCCTTATTTGATGCTTTTGTTATTTTCCATGCTTTGATTGTTTCTATATTCTATTGTAACTAAGGATCTTGAGCGAATCTTGTATGTATATGTTTTTGTATGTCTGAAGAAACTGCTTTAGTAAAAGGCAACATTGATTTATAAAACCTAGCTGTGTTGTCTGATTTCCTGGGAAATAGCGAGCCTTCAATACGCCAATCTGACCTCTGTATACATTGGGCAAGAACTCACGCCCCGCCCACTGTGGTAGATAACTCAGACTTGGGCTCCCGGAACCATCTTTGGACCGGTTCGGATAACAGAAGACCTACCCCAAAAATAAGCCCTAGCAGGATTTCTATGCATTTGTGGTATAAGAACTAGTGTGTCTTCTTGAGAAAAAAATAAATATAAGACAGTGTCTTATTTTCGGGGAAACACGGTATGTATGATTTTGTGTTCCACATTTACTTTATTATAACCTGTAGTAAAAACTCATTCCTCAAGGGAAACCATTTAAAAGAAGCCCTCGCACGTACCCCTTTCCATGGACACAGCGTATGGGTAGCCTAATTAAAAGTGTAGCTCCACAAGGCCATCTCTGAGGCAGAGGAAGGCAAAGCAGCTGAGAGCGAAAGAAATCAAATACTCTCAACTGGGCCTTGAAGACAGTGGGGAGCCAAAATATAACCTGGTTCATTACTTTCAGCCAAGGACAGAGATGGAACATACCTGGAAAGTCTGAAGGGGGGGGGGGAGGGGGGAGGAGTGTTCCCAAGAAAACATGGAGATGAGGGGGGAGATTGAGGTATATGCAATGCCTACTTTCCTATCAGACCTAAAAACTTCTTTGCTAATTGAACAGCACAAAAAGCATCACTTATAACATCATTTATTTAAAATCAGTATATAAAATTCCACTATTTGGAATACTTACAGTATTTATAACTATCTTCATTTTCTATAAGGAAGATTGCCCAGTATTCCTAAGATTTACAAACTGCTGCACCCAATGCTACTATACAACATGGAAGACCTGAGTGCATGAGACCATGACAGTAATCAAATGACTGAGCACAAACATATCATCTGCAAGGAATTATAGCCTACAAATGGGGGACCCACAAAGATTTAGAGGGGGGAATCTCATTTCCCCCTCCCCCACTATTTCCTGTGTTTCTTCCCTGAAAGCTCCCACAGGCTGTCCCCATTTCTTTCCTTCTCTTCTTGCCACCCACCAATCTACCTTTCTCTCCCCCACACACACAGTTTGGTGTAGTGGCTAAGTGCGCTGACTCTAATCTGGAAGAACTGGGTTTGATCCCCCACTCCTCCACTTGCACCTGCTGGATGACCTTGGGCAAGCCATAGTTCTGTCAGAGCTGTTCTTGAAAAAGAGCAGTTTGTGTCAGAGCTCTCTCAGCCCCACTACCTCACGGGGTGTCTGTTGTGGGGAGGGAAAGGGAAAGTAGTTTATAAGCCACTCTGATACTCAGAGTGAAGGGCGGGGTATAAATCCAATCTCTTCTTCTGCTTCTATTCTTTTGGAGGGGTTAAATCCTTTTGTTTTAGATTTTGGGTTCTTCTGTAAACTGAGATTGTCCCGTTCCCCCCCCCCAGGTTTGTCTTGTCTGTTTATGGCACCAATCTCTGGATTTAAGTATCCACAGATTTGGCCATGTTGAGAATTAAACATACTGAGAATAACACTCCACCATCCTTGCAGAGAAAAGTGTGCACAAGGAATGACGACCCTGGAGTCCCCAGGCTGGAGCCGAAACGGTGGCACAAGGAGAGCACAGCTCTGTCAGTAGCCCCGCAGAGTATTCACCACAAAAGTCAGCACCAGTGAACTTTGCACACTGCAGGATCGATTTGGATCTGCAGAATAAGCACTCAAAGTGGGTCATAACCCCTCAGTAAGAGAATGGTGCAGCCCCCATCCCAAACTTCAGAAGGAATCCCACAAATAGCTCAGCATTCCAAAAGGCGAAAGGAGGGCTGCCATCAGCCAGCAAGTGAGAGGGCACCTTCCCATCTTTCTAACGGGCAGCTGTGCTGAGGCCAGCAGCCTCACTTGGCCAAGCAGGTCAGGGATACCTGGCCTGTGATTTGGGGACCAGCTTGCCCTCCCAACACACCTTGGGCTCCAAGAAGACCTTGAGCAAGGCCTAGCGCCTCTCTTCCCAAGAGCGGCCGGCCAGCCAGGTGTGCCCAGAAAGGCCCTATGGTGGGGGGGTGAGGCATCTCTCGTGTCCCCCATGGCTACTGTGGCAAGGGGCCTCCTCCTTGATCAAGCCACTGGCAAACTCTCATCCGCCTAACCTTGTGGCTGAAGGGCCACTTGGAAGAACCTCTCCCGAGGTAGGGTAGCCAACAGCACTGTTCCCTCTAAGCTGAGTTAGTGTGAGCTAGCTCACTGTTTTTTATCCTCCGGCTCACACATTTTTATCTTAGCTCAGGAGAGATGGCTCCAGAGCAAACTAGTTTATGCAGCAGCCAAATTACTTGCTCACAACTGTATTGCCAGTAGCTCACAAAGTAGAATTTTTGCTCACAGGACTTCACAGCTTACAGGGAACATTGGCCAACAGGCCAGGAAATGCCTGGAAACCTGGGAGCAGGTTCTGCCTCAGCGGAGTCTATTCTCCAAAGGAGTCTTTTTCTCCAAGGGAACTGACCTCTGTAGCCTGGACAGCAGATGTAATCCCGTAAGAACGGGTCTTCCATAAGAACGGGAGGTGTGGGCGGCGACTCAAGGAAGAGACTAGCCTGCCCTGAGAGCACCAGACGAGCCCAGCCCAGCCGCAGGGCAAGGGAGGCCGAGGCCTTCCCCTGAAGTCGCCGCCTGGCCCTGGGGTCCGGAGGAAGGATCCGACCGTGCCGCTGCCTGCGGGGCGAGGCTCCCCTCCTCAGTCCCCACGGGGCGAGTGGCCGCCGGCAGAGGCATATCCTCCCCGAGATCTCTCCCCTCCCCCGGGGGAGCGGCTGATATCCTCCTGGCCCCGGGAGTCAGAGGCAGGCGGGCAGGCGGGCGGGCTGTCTGGCCGTGGTCCTGGCATCGTAGGACCTGACGCTTCGCCAGCAGCGGTGACTGGCATCCTCGGAGGTATAACACAGAAAGATGGAGTACTCTCTGTGTTATTTATCCATTTATTTAGATTTATATCCTGCCTTTCCTGCAAGTGGAGCCTGAGAGACAAGTATAAACATGTAAGTGAAAAGAATCGGTTATTAAAGGAACAGGAGTCGAGTTCCCACCCCCCTTTGCAGCGGGTCACTCCGCTGCATTCTCCAGTAAGGGGTGTTCCAAGCAATAAAAGAACAAGGCCAGGGGCCCTGTGTCCGGGGCCTGGCTTACCACCCCTCCGCGCTACGAGGGGAAGCAGAATCAACTGCCCAGAGAGAGCCAATGGGTGCAAATTGGCTTCGTCTGC